AATTGATTTTTAGAAAGTATGATTACTTTTTTATATTCAGACAACAGATATACATTGAAAACTAGTTAATGAAGGAAATATTTTATATCTTTGTTGCCTTGATTTTATAAAAATAAGTATTTTGTTATTTATCTAGTAATGTTTAGTTTAATAAAAGGCTAACTGAAAATTGCAGTTGAATTCCCAGAGTACTATATTACTCAATTACTCAGAGTAATATATTTTTATTTTGTTTGTGTTCAGCATTACTTTCAACTTAATATTCTTGTTACAAAAAATACCTTGTCTTTTAGAGAATACAGTGGTATTATTTATGTTAATTCATGTGGCTTGGTGAAAAAAAATTCTATAACTCCTTTACTTAATGGGATTCTTCCCCTGTGGCAGTGCAAACGGCTAGAGCAGGAGCTTCATCATTTGAAAGAGCAGAACCAGACTTCAGCAAACAACATGAGACATCTGACTGCTGAAAACAATCAAGAACGTGCTCTGAAGGTAAATCTCTGTTCCTTCTTGCAGGCAAATTAAGGTTGTAAGCCCTTGGTGCCAGCTTTCTGTGCTGCATATATCAGTTGTGTACATTTCAGCAGAAGTGAGCTTTGGTGTTTGCCAACAACTCCTTCTTTAAACACAGATACAGCACCCTTCTGTTATCGTATTATTTTATTTCGTGTGTGTGGACATGAAAACAACATATTTTCTGAATTTTGAGTGGTGGTACCATGATTTGGCACATGTTCATTCTATTTTTGTTTTTATAATGTATTATTACCTTTTAGAGTTAATTAAAAATGACCACACTTAAAGAAGAAAAAAAAAATCTCGGGCCTTTTCTTTCCAACATGTTTGTTACAATTATTTAAAAAATGACTTGTATTATCAGTAACCCACAGAACTGATACTCCTTGAAAAGGGTGTGTGAATTGAAGGAGTGCTTAGCGTGTTACTTTTAACAAAATACATTACCAAAGATAATATGTTGTATTAGAACTTGAAAAGAATGAAGTTTATGTTCATGGTAAGAAGTTATATCTCATTGTAATATAGATCCAATAAGCATACGCACCAAAAAAAGGCTATGATTTCGATTTTATTAATTATGTTTTTAAGATGCTTTTGACTTTCCATTACCTTTTTTTGTTTGCCTCAGTTCCTAGCATAGTTCCTGGGACATAGTAGGTACTCAGTGAATGCTTCATTGATAAATACATGCATGAGTGAATAACTGTAGAATCAAATACTCTTGTTTGCTCTTTTTTGTTGTTTCTTTATTTCTAATTGTTTTTTATTAACTCAAGCCATTCTGATCCCTTAAATAGGTCTGGAGAGGAAAATAAAGATATAATTTTCCTTGTTAAAAAAAAATCTTTTATGAAAGTCTGTTTTCCTGTTTGAGATAGTTAACCTACTGGAAGACAGTGATATGTCTTTAGGTCGTTTAATAAACACAAATGTAAAACTGTCCACCTAAATTATATACCCTGAGAGTGTGTCTTGGTTGTTTTGCACAGAACGAACAAAGATACAGACAAATCGAAAATTATGGGTAAACTAGAATTTTTGAATGTCTGTGTATATCAGTCTTTGAAAACTAAATTGATTTTATTTTAATTATTTGGAGAATAATTCAGAAAATTTAGTTTGATTGTCAAAACATGATGAACATCTTATTGAACCTTCCAATAAATTATTATTTGTATTAACTGTGGTGAAATGTCAGTACTAATTACAGTTGTCCTGAGTTGAAATTATATTACTAAAAAATATAATTTGACGTTTCATGGCTATTGCTTGTATTTTCTGACTCTTGACTTTTGCAAGGCATTTACCCTAAGATCTTTGTGATTCCCAATTTCAAGTACTGTATTTTTATGCAGATAATATGCACTGTCTGTTTATTTCCTGGCTGCACCCTTCCCCCATGAGGTACCTTCCCAAGCACCACTATGCCAATTGTCTTCCACATGTTGCTGTAAAAAAAAAAAATGAGCATAGCTTGCTTAGAAAATACCTCATGGGAGGGGCGTGGCCCGCAAACAAGTCGCATAAGGTACACGTTACTTGCATAAAAATACGGGACGTTAATATTCAAAAGAATGATGTGTTGTTTATTTGAATCACATGTTTCTTCAAGTCTCAATATTCACATTGCCAGTTAGCTAGATTTTCAACTTTCATTAAAGTTTTTTCACTCACTCAATGTGTATTTTTTTATTGATAATTTTTTTCTTCTTCCAAGTTATTGCCTAAGGCATGATGAATAGAAAACAAATCTGCGGTGAGATACCAGTACTGGTTGTTGACAAAGCCCATTCACCAACTAAAAGGCCCAGCACAATCTCACATTCCCTATCTCCATAGACTTCAGAATCAGTTTTAAATGTTAAATACTTCACAATATTTTTATTATATTGTGAAACATTTACCCTTGAAATGGAAGAGCTATCGTAATATATTACAATGTAAACCTTTTAAATTAAAATTTAATATCTCCCAAAATTCTGCAAACCTAAAATTTATGAAACATTCTTTATTTTGTCATTTATATAGTCTTAAGATGATAGATAATATAGTTTATCTGTATTAAATATTTTCATGATTAATATCCCTAGAACAATAGTTTTTATATTCTTAGTAATACAAATGATACTGTAGAATTTTTCTTAATAGTCAACTAAACTTTTTTTTAAGTAACGAAGATGAGCTCTAAACTTTACCTTTTAATTTCTCTACCTTCACTCACTTCCTAGGTGATTTCCACCAGTCTTGTGGCTCTAAATACCATCCCTATGCTGATGACTCTAAAATTTCCAATCCTACTCTCTCCCCTGAGCTTGAGATTTGTATATCCAATTGGCTATTTATCATTTCCATTTGGATATTTAGAAGATATCTCATACTTAACAGGTCTAGAACAGAATTCTAATTTTTTATAATCCTTGGCCCCTTGATTTTGTTCCTCACCCAGTCTTTTTCATTTTAGGAAATATACCCTTCATCCTTGTTTTCCCTCACAACCCACATCAGCAAGTCCCATTAACTCTACCTTTAAAACATGTCTTGGTTCCAGTCGCATTTCGGTTTTTGTATTGCTACATGCCTAACCCAAGCCACTAATATTTCCCACCTCAACCGCTACAGTAGCTTCATGCATGGCCTTGACGTTTCCACATTTGACACCAGCCAAGTGTCTCTCTCCACATAGCAAAGTTATAGTTTAAAATCAGCTCATATCTTCTCAAAGCCTGCCATGACTTTCTTTCATCACACAGAATAAAATTGAAATCTGCTATTATGACCTGTAAAGTTCCATGTGATCTCAACCTACCTAACTCTGATTTCTTTTACTGCTTTCTCTTTTGATTTCTTTGCTGTGGAGGCTAGTCACGCTGACTTTTTTTTTTTTTTGCAATGTTTTGAATATTTTACACTCTCATTCCCTTTCAGTTCTGTGCAATTGTGACCTAAACTTACTGCCAATGAGTCCAGACTTTTGCATGGTAATTTAGTTTTAATTTGACAAGGATTTTAATTTTGGTACTACGTTAACCACTGCGAGAGAAAAAAAGAAATATTAGAAGTGATCTCTGCCCTTAAGGAGCTTACATTCTCACTAGCCAAAAAGAGAGAAAAGAAAAGTGTGTGTGTGTGTGTGTGTGTGGGTACACACACACATCTCTGTGGGAACCAGAAAAGATTCATTGTTGTTATTGTACAGTAAGAAAAGATGTGTTACCAAGGAGATTGCCTTGTACTTTGTGGTCTTAAATTATTTGTTTGCCGCAGATTACAGAGGACTGTCGTGGAATTGGCAGTATATATTCCCTAAGCCAGAATTATCCTCCAAAATTGAGGGAAATGGTGACATTTAGATGTGGAAAATCTTTTTAATCTGTCCAAAAAGTGTGAGGTTTGGTAGAAGTCAAGCTTTTGTTTTTTTTGATAAAATGTGTTTAGTTTCATTTTGAACTTCTCAGTGGTGAGCTTATAGTAAGTTTGTTATTATTTAATATACCTTCTCTCTCTTCTTTTCTCTTGATTTTATAAAATAGACCAGAACAATAAATGAGAAAGTAAAGAGCTATGGATTGCTGTGATTATTTTTAAATTACATCCATAGACTTCACTATTTTATGAATAAAATCAAGTAAAAGAATTTTTTTAAATGTATACTTACAAAGACAGTTTCTATAATGTGTAATAATTTATTATCAACTATAGGGGACATATGTCATGTGCTCTGTCATATGGCTCTTTCCATTTAAATTGTGACCTAAATAAAAATTCCAGCAAAAATTCCAGTTTGTTAAGTATGTATTTAACAAAATTGCATGGTCATTTTGGCATTTTTAGTTGTGTGTTCATCTTGTTTTTGTAGTAGCATAAAATTAGAAATTTGCTAGACATGACACTGTTTCCTTAACCTTTATATGCTTGAAATTTTCCATACTGACAAATAAACTACAGTGGTACACGTAGAATGAGGGACTGAATTTACGCTGACAACAGTATATACCCTGAGAGTTACTTAAAAAAAGAAAACTAATTCTTTTTTTATTTAAGATAAGTTGTATCCAGTTATGTTAAGAAATAGGATTTTTTGAAGAAAACAATTTTTAGACATTTAATGTTTTCAGGGTAAATTTAGATTATCCATAAATATGCAAGCATCAGACTTAATAAGAAATTTAATATGCCTTGACTTTCTTTCCTTTTTTCATTTATTTTCATTTTTTAATGAGCTTTGATATATGTGTGGGAATTCTTGCTTATAGTTATTATCTAGAGGTTGAGGCTCTTGGTCTACTAGTATGACCAGTAATGGTTCATATTTAGTAGATGTCTTTCCAAGATTTTTGTGATATGTATTTTATAATATTTACTCATTTACCTTCCTTATCACACAATCTTTAACCTCCTTCAATCAGACTTCTCCACTGACATTCTGTTGAAAACTATTCTTTCTTAGATTATAAGCGACTTCTGATCATTAAATCCTGTAAAACCTATCATTCATCATCCTACCCAAGATCCCAATAAACCTAACTGTAACACATTGCAATCTTGTTGGCTCCCTCCCTCTTGAAACACTTTCCTATCGTTCTGTGTTGCTGTATCCTCATCATTTTTCTCATCTTTTGATTGTTCTTCTTTATTCTTGATTGCTGATGCCTCCTTTTCTACCTCTTCCGAAAATATAAATGTTTCTGGGGCTGTGTGATTAATCCCTTTTTCTTTTATTCTAGGCTTGTCTCTTCTCAATCTCGTCTATTCCTATGGCATCACCTGTCATTTAGGTCCCAATAACTGCCATGCCTGCCCCTCCACTTGTATATCTTAATATCTTATTAACCTCAGCACACGTAAAACCAAATCACTAATTTGACTCCCTAAGTCTTGCTTTCTCCCTGAGAAGAAGTCATAAACTGAGTCAGACAGTATTAACTATATAACTTAACACTTTTTCCCAATTATCTTTTACTTTGCTTGCTTTT